CACCTCATCTTTAAATAACGAATAGACTATCTTTCGCTTACAAAAATTAAACGATAATTCTACACATTACAACAATACAAATACTAGAGGTTGAGGTTATGCTTTACCTCTCCACATTACGTCACACTATAAACGACAACTCCGCCCTCATGCGCAAGATCATATCTTCTCTTTTCTTTGTATCATGGAATAAAGTAATAAAATTAAGGAAAATAAACAAGTTTAACATGCTTATTTAAAGAAATATTCTATTTTCTTTTACGTTATTGTTTGGCAACGATGTTTTACAGCTATATATCTCCATCGTTCATTTGCAGAACTTCGTAAGTTTGCCTTATTTCATCGTTCGAGGAAACGTAAAGCAATCTGAAAAGGACAACACTTTATACAATGACAACAAAAATTAAGAACCCAGTCGTGTCCCTAACTAATTAGGTCGACTGTATAAAATTCTTATCCTTAAGACATTGAAAATATCGTCGGCGGTCTTATGCTGCTGTTGTCTGTTGGGTCGTCATCTTCGTCGTCTGATACTCTCAGGTTGTCTGGATGAAGAACCATATCAATAATGTTATAATCAATGTATATGTAGTAATGTATAATCAATAATTCTTAGTTAAGTTCGTCACATCCCGGCAAATTTTTTATTAAAGGTTTAATTTCTTCTGTCATTTCTTTACCATTTTTTCTTTCATGATCGTCAATCAAAATCCTATCTAAAAGTTTGTTCCAGCATTTTTACAAAGTTGAAGATTTGATCTTGACCCAGAACTCAGCACACCGATAAACAACATATTTCATTGTTGAAGATTTGGGGATTTCGTGAACACTTTTGGATTCATTCGTTTCCTGTATTAACAGTTGTCTTAAGAAATCTCCTCTATAATGTCTCTCGAATGTCTTTATTACTCCCTCGTCTAACAACTGAATTAAGCTCGTCACCTTCGGTGGCAAAAATCTGACAATTATCACTATTGTGTAGATTTTGAGGGTGAGTTGGCGCATTGTCAACAAACAACAATGCTTTGATTAGAAGGTTTTTTATTTTAAAAAGGATTTTATACTTGGGACGAATTAATTTTCGAACCATTCTGAAAATGAAGTGGTCGACATCCTTGAGCTTTTTTGGCTTCTATAAAAAACGGCAAGTGCTTTTTCTCAAATATCGTTGAGAGCTCTTGGTTTTTTTTTATTTTCCAACACACATAGGCATCAATCGGTGAGTGAAATTAGTGGAATTGTTTACGTTTTGCGATAAAAATTTACTTTTTATTGACGAAACTATTGATACTCTCAGCCGTTTCGGTTAAACGATGTTTCGGTTAAAAAGGTTTCGGTTAAGGGAGGTTTTACTGTATATCGAATATAAACACCAGCCTAATTGAGCTTCTTACATGTTCTTACATGTAATAATTAAGCTCAGATCTCGATTAATAGATTACTATACCATATATAGACCTATAATAGCCAAACTCATTCCTTTTAAAAGAGTATTGGACATGAAAACTTTGGCCCCTTTCAGTGGTTCAGTCCTAGACCGACTGAACCACTTCAAATTTATTATTAGCCTTTGTTATGCAAGATCCTACGGAGTTGTCCTGGACACTCACTGAAGCGATGGAGACACATGTAGCCTTCGAGATGTGGCTATACAGAAGAATCCTAAGGATATCATGGACGGACAAGATAACCAACGAGACTGTACTACGAAAAATGGTGAAAGAAAGAGAGTTGTTGTATACGATTAAAAGGAGAAAATTAGAATATCTGGGATACACAGTGCGGAACGGCACTAAATACAGATTACTGAAAATAATCCTTCAAAGAAAAGTATTTGGAAAGCGAGGAATTGTGAGAAGAAGAATATCATGGTTAAGAAGCCTGAGGAAATTGTATATCTGTATAAAAAAATGTATAACCACAAATAATACAAAAAGGAAATGCTATTATGTAAAAAATCAAATTTATTTATCTTTTATGGCATAAAAAATATTTAAATAAGAGACTCAACTGAAAAATAATTAAAAAAAACAATTTGCTTGTTGGAAAATGCTTTGTATGACGGTTGCGGAAATCGTGATGTGATAACCCGTAACTGGTTTGTCTTAAAATATTTATATTTCTAGTCTAAGTTAAATGTTCTTTTTGAAGATGTGTTTCCTGTTTTCAAGGTTGTAGTCTAACTCTTTACCATCTTTGGTAATTTTCATTACAGGTCCAAAGACTGCCCTCTAATTTTAAACTCAAATAGCGGACGGGTATCATTTTGTAAGATTTTTTTAAATTAGGCAAATAATCTCTTTTGAAAGCTCTTCGTTGTGCCGTTTGAAAATGCAACCGTTTAATATTTAATAGCATCTGTATAAAAAAATTAGCTCTAGTAGTATGGTTTGTTTCAAATTTTGTGAAAAACGCTTAAACATGTAAATTTTTTTAGTTTCCTGCATTATATACATACAATATTACATATTTTTAAATTTTTCTTAAGTAATAATATGTACAATAGTATGTAGTACATTGCATATGATACATAACATGAAACTATTAATGTCAATAAAAAACAAATGGGATTTATTAGGATGTAGTAAATTATAAAAACAAATTGAGTTGTTTGAGCGTTATTCAAAAAGTTGAGTAGGACTATATGCATATTTTTCTATACCTTTGCCATTGTACATTCTTCTTCTTTTACTTTCTTAGAGTGCCTCTCCGTTCCGAACGTTGGCGATCATTCTGCCTATGATGACTTTGTTGGTTGCTATAAGAAATAGCTGTGTTGAGTTCTTTCTATACCATGCTCTCAGGTTAGCAAGCCAGGATATTCTTCTTCGTTCTGGGGCCCTTTTTCCTTCAATTTTACCTTGCAAAATGCATTGAAATAGCTCGTATCTGCCTTGATTTCTCATTATATGTCCCAATTACTGAAGCTTACGGCCCTTCACGATGTTGACCAAATACGTAGTTATGTTCATCCTCCGCAGTACTTCTGCATTGGTGACTTTTTCTATCCCTGGTATCTTCAGGATCCTTTTGTATGACCATAGCTCAAAAGCCTGAAGTTTTGATAGAGTTTCCGCCATTTTTATAGATTGTACATTAAATTATCACAATTTTTAAACTTCGCTTTAGAATCCAACAAAAATGTAAAAACATTTTGAATGAGACAAAAACTTCTGAACAATGTGCTACATGCTCTATAGTCATTTAAGAAAAATGACAAAAAAATAAATAAGCTAGTGGTGGGTGAAAAACTAGACAAATCAATTGATTTGTTTAAGCTTTTTCCGTAGCAGCTAAAAACAATCATTATTAGCGTCCATACTTTTATTTTACACAGTCTTTAGTGATTATTAAGTGGTTATGGTGTACGCACGAGCTTAAGACTTGCTAAGTACTTGCTATCTACAGATTGGCAAAATAGCGCCAGTCCGGCATTTCTCATAAACACGACACTAAAATAGCATAAAATCATAGTTCTGTAGATCAGTTACTCAAAAATGTAGTCATCTAAGTTTTATGGATCAGAATATAATTACGCGGGTGTTGGACCGTAGACGCCCACTGTACAAATAAGTATATAATATGATTATATTTGGTAACACTGTATATTCTGTTTTATATTAACACTAAGTCTAAAAACAGACTTATATCCATCTATAAAAAACGTGGATCGTATGTAATTAGCTATCTAAGCGGATGGATTTATATTAATGGTGTATTAAATATCTTTGGCTTCGGAACATATATAGATGTCAATTACATATACAGTGTTCGCAACATAATGACCATTGCATCTGGCATTTGCAGTAATTGGAGTGACTGCCAGACCAGATACGTCTAATAGCGCTAATACTGGGGTTTTAAGGGATAAGGGATAGGGTGTTCGGCCCCATGACCACCCTCAGGATGTGTAAGCTCTATTTGCTAACACTGCATGCCCTAATATTGGCCTAAGGGATTTGGGGAAACATTTTATCTAATATATTACCGGCAGAAGTAAATGTATCATAAATAATTTTAGTGCAGTGCATTTCGAGGTCTCCGACTGATAAGAGTGGGATGTGAATGTTTTGTGTAGCCGAAGAAGTTATGACGAACATTTGCTGATATATTTTTATGGCATCGGTAGAACGAGCTGCATTGAAAAATGTCGAATAGTATTCCGTATAAACTATAATCTTTCTCCATGCTCCATAAAATACTCGAACTGTATTTTATTTTACTGTATACTATTTATATAAAAACAGCAGGTATAGTAAAATATATTACAGTGTAAAGGAAATGTCATACTGTTTATGTTTATATGTATATTGGTTACAAATGCAATATAATATAATTATATATACATAATAATACAATTATTTCCTAATAAATTTGTGGACTACATACAGGATGTCCAAAAAAGGTCTTTAAAAACAAAACTACAAATTCTGGAACTCATTTTGTGTCTATTATCATCGAAAAATGCTTTTTAAAGATGGCGTCCTAACAACGGTTTTATTGAAATATCTTTAAAACGGTTGTAAGTGATAGAGTTTTGTATACTTGACAATCCCGGAAATCGTTAAAAAAGAGAATTATAAATTAAAAAATTGTCAGTGTTAACCTGTTAATGTTTATCTTTTGTTAATTGCAATATTATAAATTGTTTTCTTTATTTGTTATATACGGTTCACTTGCGAAACTGCCCCATGTTCGTAAACAAATCATTTCCAACTAAGGTCAAGTGAGGACAGCGTAAATAATGGGGCAAATGCGACGATGACTTACAGATTCAGCACAAATTAAAATATAGTGCTGCTATAAAGATTGCGTACGAATTTACCCACCATTAGAAAGAAGGAAATTTCTAGTCAGTTGATTTGTAAGCAGCGTGTAAACAACTTATTGTAACATAACCCAACATTCACAGTAGAAGTGATTTCACTAATCTTCTAAGAATAATTAATATATCACGGAAAATCTGATTTAATATTTGGTAACTTTTTTTTATAGTTATAATGTGTGTATGTAAGTCTTTACGACAAAAATACTATCACGTGGTTCTTTTTGTTGGTGTATCATAATTGCCTCATGAAAAATATTTTTTGGGGCAAATATGAAACAAGAATGCAGGGCAATTGTGATATGTAATACATTTATCCCGTTATTTCAGATATCATGGTGCATACAAACATATAAACAGACTTGAATTTAGCAATATTGGAAGTAAATGCTGGACGAAACACTGTATATGGCGCTTGCAAACAATTTAATATATCATATGTAACACTTTACAGTCGAATTCGAGTAATTCTTTGAGTAAAACAAGCTAATAAAGAGCGTCCAATAAATATTCCAATTGCAAAAGAATTAAAATTGGGAAATGGTTTAAAGATTCTAGAAAAGTGGGGATTCTGTTTGTCCAGGAAAGAAGTGTTGAAAATAACAAATTTTAAATGCGGTATACTTGGTGGGGGGGGGGGGTAGAATTGATTCATTCCTTAACTTTAAGAAGCGTTATAATATAAGCCTAAAAACCCACAACATATAGAATATGCTAGAAAGAAAGCATTAGATCCATTCAAAATCTATGTATATTTTGACCTGCTCGAAAAAACTCCAAACGAGCTTGAGCTTGAGCTTCTTGATAAGCCTCATTGACTATGGAACTAAAATGAAAGCAACTCAAGTATGGATCCGAGAAAATCCAAAGTAGTTGGTGCAATCAACAAAGCTTCTTCGAGAACAGTAAGTTCCCCAGGTGAAGAAAACACAACTATTCTTTGAATGTGCAACGCAGCTGGCGATAATGCCCCATTATTAACAATATTAAAGGCAAGCATTCGTGGCACCAGTGTCTTGCCCTCCCACAGCAGATTTCACGGGTACCGTTTATGCTACCAGTAAGACACGCTGGATGGAAAGTGATATTATTACAAACTACTTCCGGAAAACTTTGATTCTAGCACTTAGCGGATAGACGTATAGAGCTGAAAATTGATAAGAATAATATTTGGGTCATGTTATAAATGAAATTTAAAAATTTCCCATTAATCCTTCTCCAGAAAAGGTGTACCTACATAAGTGTGCCACATACTTATATCCTGGAGCTATAATACTCAATATAATATTATGTTTAGTATGTACGTCGACATAATGACGATAATATCTTCATCCTCTCATGATTTATTTGATGAATAATGTGACAGTTTCCACCGCTCAACAAAAATTTCTTGCAAATAGTCACAAGTCTGGGTTTATTTTAATGTTAAAAGAAATATTTACCACTGAAAATATCTTTCTACTCACTGATAATGTCGTTGATGGCCTGATAATTGAAACAGTGATAAAAGAGACAGTTTTCAAGGTCGGTCATGATAAAATGTTGAGTCAGAATTTCAAAAAAGATCAGATCAATAATTTTACAAATTTTTAGAATCCACCCCGTATTGTATTGTTGAGTAGTGAATTAAAAGAATTACAATTTATTCTGTAATAGGCGTACCAGGGAAACCACGTTAAAAAACGCTCAAAATACACTACCTCACAAGTGGCGTGAAAACTTATTGTGCTATTATGAAGAGTATAATATTTTTTAACTGTTTGTTATATCTTCTAGGCGATGATTCTAAGGCAAAAAATGATACTGACAATTTTTGTAAATAATTGCATGGTCTAGAATTTTTGTTTAATGTATTTTTGTAATAAAATGTACCATTTGCCTAAAATACAAAAACTCCATATTTGCTAACTTTGACATTAAATAAGTTTTTTTGGAAATCTGGAATTGATGGGGGCTTTTCGAATTTTATTTATAATGGTGTCCAAATCTTTGTACTAATTTTTAGCTCTGTATGATTTTTCGTAACCTTAAAAGTCTATCTTCACCGGCCTACTTGTTATTTTCAAAGTTAATATTTATCCAAGTGTCATTAAATATATATTTTAAGAATGAAGGACACATTTTAATTTCTACCATCGAATTAAATCGCATGTAATTAAAATAAACATTTATTTATGGGCTTTATTTTTAGAAATATTTAAATTTTCCAATAATTGGAACGTAACGGTCTCGGCAAAACAACGGTAAATATTTCGCCACATCGCAAAGCAAAAGACTTGAAATAACAAAATCAAACATTCCCTCATGGAAAGCGGGTCCGTCAAAAACAATTTCATTTTGTGCTTATTTTATCCGTAAAGAAGATTATGTTTAAGGTTTGTTTGTTCTCCAAATAAAAGTCCAATTGCTTTCCGCAACATCAATTTATAAAGTATGAGGCTTTGCTGAGTCATCAACAAAAACTGAACGAGTTTGGATTAAAATCGTATTTCAAATACTTTGTTATTTTGTTGAATTACTGAAAAAGGTACAGTTAAGTATAATTAAATTTATTCAAGGGTACATATTTTTGTGTTAATATTTTTAGGTATAGGGAGCTGTTTCAATAAATATTGGATAATTTCTTATATAGTAGTGTTGTTTAGTATTTATTGGTGTATCAGTTTAAATTTAGAACATGTTTTCCATGAGCTAAAATTGTTTTGCCTATTATAGTTAGGTAGATAATCGATTTTAGTGAAATCCATTATGAGCTCTTGTGATCCAGTTTCATTAACTAGTAAAGTAAAAATAAATTAATAATTATACTTCGACAAGAACTTAGGGAGGGTGACCCATAAATGTAGCGTAATCTACTAATTGTACGAGGTGCAAATCAAATACGTTATTTACTAATAACAAAATCAAAATAATATTGGTTGATGTCATTTTAATCCTAGCTCCCCATACAATTTAACAGGTAATATGAAATCCTTTACAGTGAGCCAGCTGCAAGACTAGGCGTATTTACAATGTATTTTAACAAATTAAAAATTGGTCAACACCGATTATCCGAATCCTTAATTCTTTAGATTTATCAGTGGCGTTTCATAACGTCAACTTGTAGAAGTATTGTCTACATAGAAAATTAAATTTATTTAAGCAATTTATTAAAGAAATGAAAATACTAATAACATATATAAATAACTACTTATATTAAACAATTTGTTTAGATTACTTATTGTCAAATAGCAAATGCACCGATTGTTAGTCGAAACGATCTTTATTTCTACTTATAAATAGTCATCTTCTGTAATTTAGAAGTATTTTAATAAATAGTTGCGACTTAAATTAATAAATTACTCAATTAATTATTTATCTATTAAATTATTACTTTAATCTATGATTTAATCTATTTTTGATACACGGGCAACTGCGTTCTCATCCACAAATTCAAATTCACTTTAAATCAACACTATATTGACGATATCTACCACGATGCTCCTTGATTATTGTCATTATTTCTGCTTTGACCATATCCTCTTTAAATGTCTAAATAATTTCTTAATTAATTGATGGATTCGACCGTTACTTGATGGAAATTCATTTTATGTAACAATAAAACACTGAAAACTTTGTTTTCAAACTTGCACAAAATTTATTTTAAATCTTATCACTACAGCTGTTTCGGCTAATTGCCTTTCTCAAGTGATCATCACTTCTATCTCTTTTTATCTATCTCCTTTTTTGTAGATGTTGTTCATATGTGCTTTTGTCCACTCCGGTGTTAAGTCGTGCCCTTTATAAAATAGAGATTCTATAAAATAGAAAATAATATGCTAGTAATTCCTGTAATACTTTTCGGATGTTTGTTAGTAATTTGTTCAGTATAACCGTAATTGCAGTATCGTTTCAGTCAGAAGTTGTGAGTAATGTTCCACAAAAGATCTTTCTTCTGTTAAATATTCAATTCGTGTATTTTCTACTTGTTCTCAGGTTTTTTTACCATTTTTTGCTTTAGTTACTAGATTTTTTCTTCTCGTATTTGATCTTGTTTATGCATGTTGTATATGTTTGCCTATCATGTGGGTTATTTGTTTGCAGCCGTTTTTGATATGCCTTTTTCTTTTTTTTTGTACTGCATTCTCGATGTCATTTGTCCATCACAGTTGATTATGCTTTTTGTTTCTTGGGATCGTGGCGAGTGCTTTATAAGCTGCTTCAGTGATTGTATTTATTATATCTTGGTAGGTATTCTGGGCCGACTAGATCAGGTTTATTGCTTGACTAGGCCGTAACTTATATAAAAATGAGGTTCAATCGTTTTGCAGCGCTGCCTTAAGATGACCAACTTAATTGCACACTCATATGAATTGAGGTAAGTGTTATTGCCACAGACGTACTAACAGTTAATATTCTGTTTTTAAAACGTCCGTATCTTAAACAGTTTTTACAAGTTAATTTTTGTCGAGGAGTACTTTTTTAATTATTATTATTATTTTTTTCATCATTTTTTATTTTTACTTGTATATTGACCATAGGCGAAAAGTTGTGTTTATATTTAATTGTTCATAAATTATATGAAGAAAAAACTAAGCAGCACAAAAACTGAAAATTTTTATCAAAAAATTGACTTTTGGAAAAAACGTGTTTATCTCATTCTAAGTTAATGACAAAACTCCGTTTTAGTTCACCTTTAAAGTCATTAGAAGTAAAATCAATTATGGGTGTACACATTATGATGCATGCAAAACCACTTTAAAAAAATCAAACAATATACAATCATCAGCTCTGAGATTAGCACTGGGTGCATTTAAAACTAGTCTGGTTAGTAGTATGCAAGTTATAACTGGATAACTACCGTTAGATATAAGACGACAGCATTTATCATTAAACTATATTGCAAAGAAGTCGTCCCAGAAACAGCCCCCTATATTCTTTCATATTTGCAACCCCGGTCTTCCTTCTAGCATAAAGACTAAAAACTATACACCCCTCATAGAAAGAATAAAGCTCACAACTTTAGATAGGAATTAAATCAATATGTCGCTAAATATTAATGCAAAGTTCCTCCATGGACAAGCACAAATTTCATAATAATTAAACATCTATTTATGGAAATTCTAGATCACTATTAAAACTATTTGCAAATCTTTACGGGCGCCTCTAAATCTCCCAATGGTCACGCTACTGCCTTTCTTATAGC